CCTCAGGTGATCCGCCTGCCTCAGCCTCCCAAAGTGCTGGGACCATAGATGTGAGCCACCACACCTGGCAATGATGATATTTTTTAGAAGACTGACTACTGAAGAAGATTTCTACATTCAAGAGACAATCAGTTAGCTTTGAGAGACTCTGATGGCTTCACTGATACAGGTTTCTCTGGTTAGGCAAGCTGGATTCCATGATAGCTGTGGCAGCCCTGGAGTCCAGGAAGTCTGGAAAATATGCATACTCCATTAAGAAAGGTATTATGGGTTTTCAGGCCTTATCATGGAGTGACTTGGGATATTAGCAGGGTTGATCACTGGGCTTTAAAAGGGTGCTCGCTAGAGGACAAAGAGAGTAAACTAAGAGGAATGGAAAGGGAGAATTAGATCAATATGGAATAGAGGATAATAGGACAAATGAGAGAGATGTAAGGGCAGGAATTCAAATAAAGGAGGCAGGGATCCTATCCTAGTTTTCATAATGGGGCTACAGACAGTTGAACTCTTATTGCTGAGGTAGAAACAACAAGGCCAAATGGGCAGCCTCTGTGACTATTATAGACAGGATACAGGATACCAAAGACTAGATGTAGTATAAAAGTAGAATTGCTGGTGAACCAAGCTCTGATAACCAATGCAAGAAATGTATCTCCAAGTCTGAGCAAGAGCCAACAAAATGAGAGTTGGAAGGATAAGTCCAATATAAGAACCAACAAAGCAGAGCCAGGACAATTATCTCCTGACCAATTTGTAGTGCTCTGTTTTGGTGGGTGTTATGGACTGAATGTGTCTCCCCAGAAGTCACAGGTTGGAATCTTAAACCCTATTGTGATGTATTAGGAGGTGAGGCCTTTGGAGGATAATTAGGTCATGAGGGTAGAGCCCTCCTGATGGGATTAGTGTCCTTGTAAGTAGAGACACAGAGCTTGCTTGCCCTCTCTCTCACTCTCCACCTTGTGAGAATATAGCAAAAAGATGGACAGAAGAGAGCTTTCCCTAGAACCTTAGCATGCTGACACCCCAATCTTGGACTTCCAACCTCTAGAACTGAGAACTAAATGTTCGTTATTGAAGCTGCCCAGTGTATGATATCGTTATAGCAGCCCAAACTGACTAATATAGGGGTGGAGTAGGCCCCAGTTAAAGACTGCACTTTATGTTTTTGCAAACAATTGTATTTCTAGCACAGTGCCTAGCACACAGTGGTTATTTGATAAATATCTGTTCAGTGAATGAATTCTTGAAGCATGTTTTCTCTTAAAGACCTACTCTTTTGAGTTGGATAATTGGCCTGAGGGACAGAAAAAGCAAATCCAGGGAATCTGTAGAATGAGAAGAAAATGGCAGAACGATGTAGGAGTGGTGTTTGAGGCTGTAATTTGAGGTACCTGGATGGAGGCCTAAATGATAGACTTAGTGTAGTTTATTATTTTGCTGAAGGCAAGCTTCGTGCGGCATTTTGTGTAAAATGAGATGATGTCTCTTTGTGAGCCTCCTTTGAAGTCTGGAGTGTCAATGTAAATATGAATTATTGTCATTGTGCACCTTAGTTGAGTCAAGATATGTTTGTTCTCTCTTATCCATTCCCTTGAGGATTTTGTGGGCACAGAATGTGTGTGGGATATACACAGATTGGGTAAATATCAATGTATTTCTTCTCTTTCCCCATTTGAAAAGGGCGAATGTCTTCACATTTCTTGTTAGGCTCATATGTCACTACTTGTATTGACATAAAAAGGGAGGCTTTAATGCCTTTACGATCAAAGAGTACAAGTAGAGTCACCAAATTACCCTGCCACAGTATTTATTGGCCATGAAAATTCAAAAGCACCCATGGTATGTTCATAAAAGTGCCCCCCACCCCCTCAATTGTTAGTTTCTGTGTGTTTTCATGGCAAATTGCAGATTGGCTTCAAATTTAGGCTCATAGGAGCTACTTGAATGAATGAATGGATGAACTCAGAGGTAATTATCTTATACAGTAAAGGAGATGCCTAGATTTCTCACTGGTACCCATTAAAGAAAAAAAACAAGTATCATAACTTTCTTCCAGTCAGCTTCTTATAACCCAAGTTGTTGGGTCATTATGTCCTTGGCATTTGGCAGAATAGACTGTTTGAAAATGAATCATTACAAAGCATTAATATTTGAAAAAATCCAAATTTCTGCTGCTTGGATTAATGGTCTTTATCAGTTTAACCTGCTGTGTCTGGGTTTGAAGCTTGCCTTCCTCACTTATTTGCTGTTAACTTTGTGCAAGTTACTTAATTTTTAATGTCTCAGTTTCTTGTTCTGTAAAATTATGATAATAGTGTCTATTCTGTACAGTTATTTATTATGAGGTACATATGTTATTAAATGTACATTTTTTTTTTTTCTGAGATGGAGTCTTGCTCTGTCCCCCAGGCTGGATGGATTGTAGTGGCTGTGATCTTTGCTCACTGCAACCTCTGCTTCCTGGGTTCAAGTGATTTTCCCACCTCAGCCTCCTGAGTAGCTGGGACTGCAGGTGCCTTCCACCATGCCTGGCTATTTTTTTTATCTTTAGGACAGACAGGTTTCACCATGTTGGCTAGGTGGTCTCGAATGTCTGACCTCAGGTGATCTGCGCAATTTGGCCTCCCAAAGTGCTGGGATTACAGTCGTGAGCCACGGTGGCTGGCCTAAATGTAAATCATTTTATCATAGTGCTTGTCACATAGAAAATGCCCAATAAGTGTTTTTAATCATTATTATTTAAAATTTTTAAATCAGAAGATAGATGGAAGTCTGGAAAAAGAACTGCTGATTTTTTAGGAAAGACGATGAGTGTGTTTTTGGGAGATTGAGTTTGATGTGCAGATAAAATATTCTGTGATGCTCTCCAGCAATTTGTTTTAAATGTACAATGGTTTCTTTTCTTTCTTT